CTTTGCATGTTAGGCCACACCCCCTAATTGTAGCCAATCCTAATGAGTTTCTGCTGTTGGGTGTTGCCTATTATGTTAATAAGTTCCTGCTGGGCGTGGCCAACTTGGGAGCCAGCCGGAACTCCGTTCTTGATTCCTGCCCAAAAATAGCCCTGATCACCTCAAAAATCATAAAGGTACACTGCCCGGCCTGAAAAGTGACACATAAAATGGATGCCAGCCAGAATCATAGAATCAGAGAACATTAGAGTTGGAAGGGACCTTGCAGGTCATCTAATCCAACCCCCTGCACTCTGCAGGAGCATAGCTGAAAGATAGCTCTACATACCTACAACATACCCGAAAGATGGCCATCCAGCCTCCGCTTGAAAACATCCAGCGAAGGAGCATCCACCACCTCCCGAGGCAGACTGTCCCACTGCTCAACCACTCCTACAGTTAGGAAGTTTCTCCTGATATTTAGCCGGTAACGACTCCCTGGTAATTTCCACCCATTAGATCTAGTCTTGCAATCCGGAGCAAGAGAGACAAGCTTGGGAAAATATTTATTTTTGAAGGTGAGTCGGAAGAGGCTGACCAGCCAATGACCCTCCTCCCCACCCTAAAGAGATGCATAATTTAAAACAGTGGGTCTCCCAAGAAAACGTTACCTCACCTTGGACTAATTCCTTTCCCATTTACCCTCATTAGGTAACTCCTAACACTATTCACTGAAACCTGGTAGTTTTCCTGTCTGGTGCGCAGAGGGTCATCAGGGAACATAAACACCTATAGTTCAACCTCCGACAATCTCATTGCGGTTTCCCAAGATCATTGTTCATTCCCGGAAGAGCAATAAAGTCATTGTACTGGGGGCACAGACGTCAGACTGCCCTAAGGAACATTTTTCTTAAATCAAGAGCATCTAGACACCAGTCCATTGGTTGTGTGTTCTCGATGTCAACCTGAAGTGTAGTGGGTTAAACGCATGTAGGAACCACGGAGACCGATGTAGTGATCAGCATGGTTTACTGGTACACAACAAAGACAAAGACAAACGGCCGGCTGGCCAACTATATACACACCTGGGGACACACCCCTAGGTCCCGTTGGTGGGTTTAAATCTCCCACCACGGTCCCATTGGTTCCCCAGTGGAGAGACCAGGAGCCTAGTCCCCATTGTTCCTCCAGAGGCAAGCTCTGGAGTGTTCGCTGGCCCCTGGTGGCGAACTGCGGACACAACACAACCTCACCCCCCCTCCCACTTACATGTGGGTGCACTCTCCGTCATTCCATGAAATGCTGGTTGTTTCATAACTCTCTCCGCAGACCTAGATCTTCTAGATTCGTAAATATCACCTTCCCAAAAATCACTGTTTCCCCCTCCTTCCTAATTTTCCTGTTAGCTAGTCTGTGTGTTTACTCTGTGTGTATGTAGAATCATAGACTTGGAAGGGACCTCCAGGGTCATCTAGTCCAACCCCCTGCACGATGCAGGACATTTACAAATACCTCCTCCCCACACCCCCAGTGACCCATGTTCCATGCCCAGAAGTTGGCAAACAAAACAAAAAACCTCTAGGATTCCTAGCCAAAAGTGCCCTGGAGAAAAATTGCTTCCTGACCCCCAAAGCGGCAATCAGCATTCCCCTGGGCATGTAAGAAAGGTCCATGAGAACTAAGCACTGATGATGCAACCCGTTCTGCCCTCCCTCTCACGATCCGCCGAAGTTCACAGACTCCGCATTGCTGTCAGATGGCCATCTAGCCTCTGCTGAAAAACCTCCAAAGAAGGAGAGCCCACCACCTCCCGGGGAAGCCTGTTCCACTGAGAAAAAAAAACTGACTGTCAGGAAGTTCTTCCTAATGTTTAGCCAAAAACTCTTCTGATTTAATTTCAACCCGTTGGTTCTGGTCCGACCTTCCGGGGCAACAGAAAACAACCCCACACCATCCTCTAGATGAAAGCCCTTTCAAGTACTTGACGATGGTTACCATATCACCTCTCAGTCGTCTCCTCTCCAGGCTAAACAAACCCAGCTTCTTTATGTATGTTTTGCTCTTTTATTCTTTCTCAATAAAAACCTTTCCGGGTGAACATCTGCCTGGTTTTATCTTGAGAGTTCTCTAAGGGGAAAATCCCCATAAATCTTGGTGGTGATCCTGGTTACCCTCCTCTCGCTCTGTCTCCATAAAAGTCTCCCTTAATTTCCCCCAGTTGAATCGGAGACTCCCTCTTTGGGTAACAAGACTGTTCTTGTAAAATCCATATCCATTTTCATTTATAATTTTGTTGTTTCTCCCATGGAGAATCACTCCAAAACATTCCTGTAAAAAACGCTGGCAGCTCCCTGACATTGGAACTTCGCCTCTCTCTGTGCTTGGCTGTCAACTAATTAACCTGATTCTGAGGCTGCCATCTGCAAGGCGGAGATAAGGAACTTTCCCTTTCATGGAAGAGCGAGATTTTTTAAAAAACGGCGGTGAGCTGCGTGGATCCTGCAGAGCTCAAAGCCAGAGGAGGACCGTAACCAGCGTTCATTACCGCACAAAAATTGCTGGGTGCCGAAAGAATCGCTCAACTTAAGATAACCAGATTAAGTCAAAGCCTCCTGAAGGTTTTCAGGGGAGGTCGCCGAATCCTTTACCTGGCCCCGAGGCAGCTTAAGAAACCAAGGAGAAATAAGCAGCTTCATCCAAGTTGACCGGGTAGTCCGTAAGCAGGACGGGCGTCCTTGTGAAGATTTCTCCTTTGCAACTCTTCCATTTACCTGCTGGGAGGTAGATGTCTCTCTTTACCATGCCCGGCTCCAAGACGGGAGCCACCATGAACGCATCCCCAATGAGGAACTGGGAATCGATTTGGTGGGCAAACTCGTCACCAGAAGAAGCCCACCAGACGGGCCTTATCAGAGGGTCCCCCGTGGCGGCAACCGCCTCGGCCAGCTCCAGCAAGAGAGGGGCCACCAGGGATTCACGGAGCTCCGTAAATTTGTGCGCAATCTCAACGACTTCCCTGTCATAAAGCCAAGGTGGGATGGAGAACTGCATGGAAGGCAAGAAGACGGACAGCTCCAGCCAGCGGATGTAAAGGTCGCGGTCTGGGAGGTCTCCAGCACCTTCTGTCTTGTTGGGAAGGAAGTTCCCACCAATCATATCTGGCAGTACGAAAGGGTATCCCAGAAGGCCAAGGGTCAACACGGCAGGAATCAAGGACTTGAGTCCAAGCTCGTGACCCCAAACTGAATCCCGGTCAATGATACGGACCAAACAAGGGACGTGCTGGGACTGGTAACCAACACGGACTTCAGCGAACTCATAGAAAGGAATGGCCATTTCCGCATAATGTCTGGACCAGACGCTGGGGTCCGGCAAGGGTTGGAAGGTGCGAAAGTCATCAGGGAGGTAGCATGTCTCCCCGGCATCAAATTTGAAGGACACTATGCCGTACTTCGAGCAGAGCTGCCTCAGCTGGCCCTGAAACCATTCCCTGGCAGAAGGGTTAGTGAAATCCAAGATGGCGCCGTTGCCATTCCACCATGTGACCATGGCAGGATCGTGTCCCGCTGGCTCCATCACAAAAAGCTGCCTCTCTTTGCCCACCTCAAAGTTTGGAGAATTTACGTGTATGAAGGGCTGTATCCACAAAGTGATGTTAAATCCACCTCTCCTGAGCTTTTCAAACATTCCCAACACATCAGGGAACTTGACTGGATCAAAGTCAAAGTCACCATAATTCTGCATGTACATGTCGTCTATTTCAACGAGGCTAGATTTAAAACCATACTTTCGAACTGTCTGGGCGAATTCCAGAAGTTTTCCCTGGTCGATCTCTTTTTTGTACAAAGCCCACGTGGACCAGATTGGAAACCTGAAGATATTTGCTGAAGGTACCTTCAAAGGTTTTCTGAAATGCTTCTGAACCATGTGTTTGTGGACAGATGTAATGTCTGAACCGACACAGACACGATAACTCAGTTCTGGGAAGGGCTCCTGTCCCAGGAGAGGCTTGTAGGGGGAATCCTTATACCTGGCCTGGAAGAAGAGAGACCTTTCCGAAGCATTGAACCCCAGGTGAAACGGCACCGAGTCATTAATCTTGATGGCTGCCGCTTTGGAGGAGATCCAGTATCGCTCCAAGATTCCACCAAAGCTGTTCCTGAAAGAATGCACATCGCTGGTCACGAACGGCATAGGTTCTTGGTATCCGGGGAGCCGGATTGGCCAGTGCTGCACGCTCATCTCACAGCCCCCGTACCAGTGGGCGTCCCCCCAGAACATTCTGTGTTCCACCACGGTGTCGGCCACCAACTCTCCCCACCGGATGTCGTAGCACATCACCACATCCTCGGTTCTGACGATCTGGATCGAGAAGCGAAGTTTCCCTTTGTCCGACTCGGAGCAGGTCAAAACGTCTCCCTCCTTCGAGCACGACTCCAGGTCGAGGACACCTGACTGAAATGCGAGTCTGAAGACCACCTCTCCATGCTGGCTTTGGATGGTGAGCCCATTCTCCCACAGGTCCACCTGCTCCATCTTCACCCTCTCCGTCCTCCTGAGTGAAACCAGGGAGTAGCACCCAGCAACCACAGCTATGAGGAGTCCTGTTGCTAACACACCTGCTCCAAGGTGCAGGGAGGATGCCCGAGGCTCAGGCCTCTGCGTAGCTTCACAACCGTCATCCCGTTGTTGTGGTCTGTCTTCTTTACCTTGTCGATGGAAGGATTGCGTTGCCATCTCCTGGCTGTAAAACGTGCCTCTTACAGTGAGGTCTTGTCGAGATTTCGAAACGTGTTTTAAGAACAGCCCTGAACGTTGCCCCTCGCAATTCCCTGAGATCCAGGAATGTGGATTGGTGAACTTGCTTACGGCGAGACGCTGTGGATCCCATGCAAGCCAAGCGCCTCAGAAATACAGTCAGAAAGCGGGAAATAACATTTCTTGTGGTTAGCTGGCTGGAGACTGCAGCAGAGTTCTGCTTTACGCTCCGCTCCGCTCCTCTCTGCGTAGATCGTCAGCTGACCGAAGGTTATTAATGGAAGCAGATTTCCGGACAGAAAAGAAGCCTTAGCCAAGTTGTGGGGGATGGGACGGCAGCAAGAAATAGAAAAAGTGTGTGTGTGTGTGTGTGTGTGTGTGTGTGTGTGTGTGTGTGTGTGTAGAAAGGGCTACGCTTGTAGAGTGGCGTGATTCTACTGTAAGGCTGGGGTGTCCTCTGGTGGCAACATCCCTCCAGTTCCAACTCGAGTTTGGAATGATTGTTTTTCGTGTCCCTGTGCTGACAGTCTTTCCCCCGCAGCAATAAAAACCTAAGTTACAAAACTCTCCAGATTTTGATTTTTCAGCCAAGAAAATCTTGTCGTTCAGGAAAGCAATGAGAAAGGTTGTTTGAATGTCAGTGCTTGTGGCTAGGCCTGGAGGCGATTAAATTTGGGGAGAACATCAGAAGCGCCCTGCTGGATCAGGCCAGTGGTCCATCTGGTGCAGCATCCTGTCTCACAAAGTGGCCAACCAGTCCCTCTGGAGGGCCAACAACAGGGCAGAGAGGCCGAGGCCTTCCCCTGATAAGAACATCAGAAGAGCCCCGCTAGATCAGACCAGGGGTCCATCTAGTCCAGCATCCTGTCTCACACAGCGGCCAACCAGTTCCACTGGAGATCCAGCAACAGGCCATAGAAGCTGAGGCCTTCCCATGATAAGAACATCAGAAAAGCCCTGCTGGATCAGACCAGAGATCCATCTAGTCCAGCCTCCTGTCTCACAAAGTGGCCAAAAAAACAGCAAATAACAACTGTGTACTGCACAAACCCGCACCAAAGTTAACAAAAAGAGACTTCAACTCAAAGGTAATTCAACACATGTAATCCATCATAGGAAAATACAAAAGTCCACAATATCCCAAAGGGAAAGAACAAAGTCCAGAATAGAAATTTCTCAAAGGGAAACAATGAAGTCTGGAATAGATATCAACACTTTTCCTAGGTATTGTTCAGTGTTTTGGACTTCTGGTCCTTCCTCAGGAACAAAAAGCCACTACAGAAAGTCTTATTGCAATTTCTTAACAGGCAAACTTTATTCAGTTTCTATATGGGCCAGGTCTCCTAAGCTTTAGAAAGCACCTACCAAGGTTGCTATTATGTAAGTTTGACCAAACATGCCTCCATTCCCTTGTGTTGTAGGGTTACCAACTTCCAGGTGGGGCCAGGCCTTGACGGCACTTTACACACACACACATAGAGAGGCGCTTCGGCGGACTGAATGTTCCTCACTGCTTCTGGCACTTTGCGGCCTAGATTCTGTTGGTTCATCTTGTGCAAGGAGCATTTCACACCACCAGCAGCCCTGTCTTAAAAGGAAAGTAGAAAGTCTAATGAAGGGCCAATATTAAAAACCTAGTTAAAACATATAATATACAAAAATACAAGTATTTATTAGAAAGACAGTTAAAAACATACATCAGGGCCCAATGAAAGCCTCATAAAAAAGTATAGACTGAACATAAGGGCCACGACACATGACCTGATGCGTATCTGCCCTATTGTGGGCTTCTTCAGAGGTCAAACAATATTGAGGTACACATGACTTAAATACATATTGCAATAGGAGAACCAATAAGTGAATATTGGACCAGGAAGAGGAAGGTTAAGCAGCAAGATCTAGAGACACATGACAAAGATGTTTGTGCAGGGGTCATTGCGTAGAAAAAGAGGTGCGGGAGCTCATTAGCATAACTTATTAGCATATGCCACGCCCCCTGACATCACTGGAAGGCAACACCCACCACTCAGGTTCCACTTGGTCTTAAAGGCGCCATGAGACTGTTTTGGATTCCTAGCTATTGGGGGGGGGGCGGACGCGCAGATCTGCCCTCACAGAGGAGGGAGAGCTTGTACCTGAAGGCGGGCCGTACACGTTGATGGGGTCTGAACTGGCAGAGACTGATCAAGAGAGAGATCTTGGAGTTGTAGTAGATAACTCACTGAAGATGTCGAGACAGTGTGTGACTGCAATAAAGAAGGCCAATGCTATGCTGGGGATTATTAGGAAGGGTATTGTAAACAGATCAGCCAATATCATAATGCCGCTATATAAATCAATGGTGCGACCTCATTTGGAATACTGTGTGCAGTTCTGGTCACCACACCTTAAAAAGGATATTATAGCTTTGGAAAAAGTGCAGAAAAGGGCAACTCGAATGATAAAAGGGTTGGAACACTTTCCCTATGAGGAAAGGTTAAAGCGCTTAGGGCTCTTTAGCTTGGAGAAACGACGACTGAGGGGTGACATGATCGAGGTTTATAAGATTATGCATGGGAAAGAGCAGGTAGAGAAAGAGGTACTTTTCTCCCTTTCTCACCATGCAAGAACTCGTGGGCACTCCATGAAACTGCAGAGCGGTCGGGTTGGAACGGATAAAAGGAAGTCCTTCTTCACCCAAAGAGTGATTAACACATGGAATTTACTGCCACAGGAAGTGGTGGCGGCTACAAGCATGGACGGCTTCAAAAGGGAATTAGATAAAAAAAAAAGTCCATCAGTGGCTATGAGCCACAAGGTATAGATAGGGGCTCTGGGGCAAGGGATGCTCTGTCTTCTTGGTGCTTGGGGGGGGGGTCAACAGTGGGTGGGCTCCTAGTGTCCTGGCCCCACTGGTGGACCTCCTGATGGCACCTGGGATTTTTTGCCACTGTGTGACCCGATGGCACCTGGTATTTTTTGCCACTGTGTGACCCAGAGTGTTGGACTGGATGGGCCACTGGCCTGATCCAACAATTGGCTTCTCTTATGTTCTTATGTGTGGTGCCAAATGCACAGTTGCTGAATTAGAACATCTTCCAGTTTAGGTCCAAAAAGCACCTGTGTGGCTATCAAAGTCAGAGCTAGAGTGTCCTCAAGCAAATAGCACCATTGTCTTGGGTGTGAGCAGCCGGTTTCAGTCCCTCCTCCTGTCCCCCGTTGAAGGGGGCTCCAAGCGGCTCACCCAAACGGTTGCCTCAAAAACAGGCACAGCAGAGGGCAGCGAAAACCAGTGGCAATTGAAAACTCACATGTGGAAATGGGCAGCTCAAGATTTTCCTGGCACAGAGGGAAACAACAATACCTGCTAGATAATGTCCAGTTAAGCCTCTGTCCAAGGGACAGGTGTTTTTTCCCCTCTAGACAGTCAGGAATCTTAGAAGCGCCTGATCCAACATTGGCTTCTCATGTTCTTATGTTCGTCTTACAGGGCTCTTTTTGTAGAAAAAGCCCAGCAGGAACTCCGTTCCTGTTGGTTTCTGCCCCAACAGCAGAAACACATCCGCCTATTAGGCCACACCCCCGACCGCACAGCTCATTAGCATATTAGGCCGCACCCCCATGTTACCAGAAGTGTGGTCATCCAGCCACACCCACCTGTTGCTTGTTATTCTGTTTACCTTGTTTGTTGTCCAAACCCAGGGCCTTTTTTGTAGCAGGGACTCCTTTGCATGTTAGGCCACACACCCCTAATGTAGCCAATCCTAATGAGTTTCTGCTGTTGGGTATGGCCTATTATGCTAATGAGTTCCTGCTGGGCCAGCCGGAACTCCGTTCCTGTGTGTTCCTGCCCAAAAATTGCCCTGGTCTTAAAGATCCCTTGGGACTCAAACGTTGTTCGGCTGCTTCCGACCAACACAGCTATCCACCAGAATCTGTCTCAAACTCTGTTCCACTCGTTCTGGGATTTTTTCTGGGCATACTGCCATTTATCGATGAGTTATCCTTCAAGGCTGAAAACTGTTTGTTAGTTGGAACAGCCCCCAAAAAAAAATCCATTTTGCAGATTTACACAAAAACCTAAAAGCAAACTCTCAGGCGAATTGTGTTAGGGCATAAAACCTACAACACCAGCGTAGTATTCCCCTTAACATTCTCGAAGGGTGTTTCAAATGGATAGAACCACTGTCTGTGCATGGGCAGAGTCTGATCTAACACCCTTAGCCTCGGGTGGGGGTGAAGACAGAAAGAACTCCAGGAAGAATCGGAACTGGGGCGCAGGTTCATCCAGAGAGAAGCAGTCCTTTAAGGATGTGGAGGCCAGGTCTCAAAGGGCTTTAAAGGTAGGAACCAGCGCACTGAATTGAACTTTGAAAACAAACAGATGACAAATAGGTGTAATATGATCAGGCCTGCAATTAATAATTAATTAATTACTAATTATCATATGACGTTGTGTGTAGAATAGCCAGGAGATCCTAAGATTGTCTGGCAGCCAGAAGTTATAGCTCTTTAGTGCTACCACTAGATGGCGAGCTAGACTTGTTTTTAAGGCAAGAGACGTTTCAGAGGTGGTTTGCCATTGCCTGTCTCTGCATCGCGACCCTGGTATTCCTTGGAGGTCGCCCTTCCGAATACTAGCCAAGGCTGACCCTGCTGAGCTTCCAAGAACTGATGGGATCAGGCTAGCGTGGACTATCACGGGCAGGGCATCAGGCCTGCTAACTATAGTCAACAGACTAGTAGTTGTGTTCTGCTGAGAGGGGCTGTGGCTCAGTGGAAGAGCATCTGCTTTGTATGCAGAAGGTCCTAAGTTCAATCCCCGGCATCTCTAGCTTAAAAAGACCAAAGAGCAGATGATGTGCAAGACCTCTGCCGGAGACCCTAGACAGCCGCTGCCAGTCTCAAGAGACAATACTAACCTTGATGGGCTGATGTGCTGTGTTATGTATTGGGACTGAATCATCGATGATTGAATCACCCCAAAGACTGGCTGAGATTGGAGCACAAGAACAATAGCCAACCAGGACTCTAGAATATACCAATCGACTCTAGGGTTGCGGTGCTCATCTCCGTTTCAAAGCTGAAGAGCCAGCGCTGTCCGAAGACGTTTCCGTGGTCATGTGGCCGGCATGACTAAACACCAAGGCGCACAGAACGCTGTTCCCTTCCCACCAAAGTGGTACCTATTTATCTACTTGCAATTTCTTGCTTT